TTGTCTTAGAGGAAGAGACTTCTAGACGAGATAAAGTAAGGAAACTCATCCCGTTTCATCTTGCTCTCCCATCCTGTCCCCTCAAAACATTTTATTAGGCTGAGGCCGAAGTCAACTCGCTTCAAAAGAAGATCCGGGCCCTTGAGGATGAACTCGGAAACACGGAAACCCGTCTTACAGAAGCCAGCCAAAAATTAGAAGAGGCTAGCAAGATGGCTGATGAAAGTGAGCGGTATGTCTACCCTATTTTTAAGCTTATGTATATTTTCTGCATATGCTATCAATATTACTTTATTATTTTTAACATTAAGTATTAAATTAAGTAGTACTTATGAATTCATAAAATGCATTTTACTTTGATTACCATCATCTTTGTCACACTTGCTCCACTTCATTTATGGATTCGACTTACATTGGGATTCGCATGCGATTGCTTAAACCATATCAGAATTCGTCGTTTAATTGCAACTCGGAAGACAATCGAAGAGGACAAAATGAAGCTCCTTTCACAAGAACTCAGTTCGCATACACAGGCTGCCCAAGCCACGGAAGAACTGTATGAGCAGGTACAAAATATAGGTGATAGATTATGCACTCACTCATAACTTATTAAATTATTTTGGTGTGTCTGTGCCACTCTTAATATTGTATACATTTATTCAGCGGGCGAAAGGTGCTCGAGAACCGAACTCTTGCAGATGAGGAACGCATCAATCAGCTAGAAGAACAACTAAGAGAGTCAACATTTATGGCTGAAGATGCAGATAGAAAATATGATGAGGTTAGCTTCTGGTATCCTAGTGTCGATCTACTGACAGGACTAGATTTTTAAGCATGCACACTGCCTATCCGTAATTTGTACGGGCTGTTAACTGTCCCCGTTTACAAGCATGATATTGCTCCATAGTTATTAACCTTATGAATATATACGCCTAAATATTCTATGGATCTTTTAGGCTGCTCGAAAGCTGGCGATAACAGAAGTTGACCTTGAGCGAGCTGAATCCCGATTAGAAGCGGCTGAAAAGTAAGCCAGGCTCATAGGAGAACATGCATGAGTTTATTAGCGGCTATGCTACTGACCACTAGCGAAATAATGTTTTTTTGAGCATCTTGGCTTGCATATTATTAATAAATATTGCATATATTATTTCTGAAACTGGCATGCATTTAATATTTTTCATATTCCCTTTGTGTACCGATTTTTTTAACGATATTTCTCTTTCACTCGATTCATCACTGAGCTTAGGCTAAAAGGAAGTTGACCAACACCGAAAAGGAGCTACGTGATGCTGAAGATCGAATTGACAGGGCAGAACAGTAAGAGCATTTTATTCAAAGAAAGTATTGACTTTTTTTGGCTGGTCTTGTGTCCATCTATGAAAATCATTGTGGTAATCCTTTTCTTATCTTATTTTGAATGAATGAGGTTATTTGTTTTAACAATAACAGGACCACCTACAGAAAACAACAACTTAGGCTTTGGAATGGACTTTGTAACTCTAGGTGATTACTGTATTAACAAAGTTACAAGTCAAGCAATTAATTTATTTGATGACATAT